TGGCAAGGCCTTAGTGTGGAAAGCCCGTGTATGTCCTGTGCATCCTGTGCTCCAGGGCAGGGCTCTGTTTTAGTGGACAAGGTTGAGGTCACACCAGACAGTAAGCTGGAGCTTACTTTACCTGCATCCCCACTGGGAACCCCAGTGTCCTCGAGCCCGAGGGTTTCAGTCCACCCCTGTCCCCTTTACCCTGATGGCATCCTATCAGTAATAGTAGAAACAGAGTCTGTTTCCCAAACTCAAGGGAAGCTCCAGGCCCTTTAGTGTTCTCTACTGGAGTGGCTACCTAACCTCCCCTCTTACCCCGAGGCTGGGAACTGTCAACCAAGTGGTCCCATCCCATGCCCTGCGAGAGTCACTTCTGTTCAGGGCATTCTCAGGCCTTTCCCAGTGAGGTTCCTGTCAACTTCACAGCCCTGCCACTTCTGTGATGCCACTGCCTTTCGCCATGGGCTGGTGTGATGGCATCTCCTCCTTTGGACCCTTCTGGTTCCACCGACTCTTGACACCCATGCAGACTGGGGAGCCCCAGCCCACTGTAGGTAGATAAGCTCTGTGTTCCTCCTGTGAGAATGATTTTCTCTAAATAAGAGCCCAGCTCTTACATTTTTGGGTCTTTCTTATCCCTCTCTGTTAGTAAAGGACCTGACACCCAGGGGTCTGTGCATATTTGATGAAGTAGGCATGACTTTATTTGCTGGTGTTTTGTGTAGCTTCTTTTTCTTTTTTTTAATTCAGAAGGTTAATAAGGCTACCTTCTAGACCTGCATTCAAAACATTGTGTGTTTTTTTCCCCTAAGACATTTTGTTTGGAACAGGGGTCGATTTGGTGACATGCTGCTTCATCTACTTCTGGGCACCCTGATGGCACTTTGGTGCTTGAGTATTTGATGTTGTGGACAGTGAAATGTACATCTCAAGCCCCCATTTCTGTGCCTTTTCCACTAGCGTGTAGAGATATTTTGTGATGTTCCCATGCAATCCAGATAGCTTGGATTGGAGGTAGACTGTATCAGGGTTTGGGAGGCCCTTGCCGGAGTGAGGTTCTCTAGGAGAAAGTTGGCAGTGGGGCTGGTGCACTTAGAAATGCACCACGTGTGGCCGTGTTTTCTCTCTCCTCTTTCCGTCTTCCCACACCTCCAAATATTCCCCACATTGATATCTTCTTGGTATGGCCCCTGGCGCTCAAGCTGAAGGGAGAGAGGGGGGAATTCAGTTTTTCTTTTCATGAAACTTGAAGCTGATTGTGGTCATCACTGAATCACTGACACCCTGGAGGCTGGCATCCTAACACCTGCTTAACTTAGGTGTTTGGGCCTTGTTTCCAGCTCACCTCAAACATGCTTATTGTCTTTGATCAGAAAAAGTTCTTTGTGTTTGGAATTTTCAGCCTGCTTCCTTGACTCGATGGCTACCTTAGGCCTGGCAGCATATGGCTATGGAATACGCTATGAGTTTGGGATTTTTAATCAGAAGATTGTCAATGGCTGGCAGGTGGGTGACATTTGGTTCCTTTACTCATTCTCAGCTCTTGTTCACACAAGAAAATAAACAGGGACTCTTTCTTTCTTTCTTTCTTTCTTTCTTTCTTTCTTTCTTTCTTTCTTTCTTTCTTTCTTTCTTTCTTAAAGATTTTATTGGGGATTTGGGGGAGGGGAACAGACAAGTTGCTGTCCTTTTGTTCTTCAGTCTAGTTGTGGAGGACGTTGCTTCACTGGCCCATGTTGATATTATGATCATTGTGCTCTTCCCAGCTGAGGCAGTCACTCGCCGGCCATTGGACGGCAGCTCATAGCAGCTTCGCCAGCTGTCGGCCACCAGCCACTGGCTGCTCACACTAGCTGCCAGCCACTCACAGTAGTTCACAGCAGCCCACTGCAGCAGGGGCTGCAGCCTACGCCATTGTCGGCCACTCACAGCAGCCCAGCTCCAGGTCAAGCTGCTCACAATCTTAGCTGTAGAGGGTGCAGCGTCACTGGCCCATGTGGGAACCGAACCAGCAGCCCTGCTGCTCAGAGCTTGCACTCCCAAGCTAACTCTTAACCAACTGAGCCACTCGGCCGGCCCCAACAAGGACACTTTCAATTCAGCTTTTTACACTTTAGACTTCCTCCTGAAGAGACTCCATCCCAGTCTTAGGCAAGCAGAGGTGGGGCAGGTTGAGGCAATCCTATGAGCTCCGTGCTTTCTTCATAGTTCCACATGGGCTGGCAGAGGCTGGTCTCCTGTGTGAACTCGTTACAAGTCTAATGGGATGGGGCCTGAAGCCTGATGGGCTTCATGGGAGACACTGGGGGCATAGGGGACTGGCTATGGTGAGACTACCACGTGCTGGTTTCCTGTTGTATTGCAACGCAGAGTATAGGTGGTCCTCTCTGTGTCAACCCTAGGGGGACAATTGACTTGACCTGGAGTACTTAAAAAATAGTTATAATTGGTTTTATTCCCACCTTCTGCCTTTTCTCCCTGACACTAGTGAGAAGGCAGCGGCATGTGGGGTTAGAGGCCGGACTCTGTAAAGCAAAGTGGCCTTTAGAGTACACCTCAATTATAGAGCATCAAACCATAGCTAAGTAAGGTGGTCAGGCCCACATTAGTGAAGAGCGTAATCTCAAAATGCAGTCTTACCGTTCTCCACTAGGTGAGGTGATTGTTCCCATCATTCAGCACTTCCAAGTGGAAGTCATAACTATTCCACTTGAGTGGAGAATAGGTTCGTTATTTAAAAAAAAAAAACCCATAATTTGGGGCCTCAAAGTCACAGATAAAGCAAGACTGTGGTTAGGATCAAAACTTTTGTAACTTGGGCTGGCTGAGTGGCGCGTTGGTTAAGAGCTGGCTTGGGACGCCAGAGGGCCCTGGTTCGGATCCCACATAT